CTTCTGTCTGATCTCAAAGTGGATTGCTGGTCGTCTAAAGTGCTCATCATTTTGCGTTGTTGGGCCATGAGTGGCCGGCGTGTGACTCCGTTTCTCAGAAGGTAGATGTATACTCGTCTCAGTTGATTCGAGTGGGTGAGGTTCTGGAGAGGTTATCTGCCCCGCCACATCTGAGTGACTGGGATCAGTTCAGCCAAGGGGGTGATCCGCGTGTGTTCCAAGGTAAAGGGGTTTCGCTTTGCAGGTATCATAACTGGATGGGCTCCCCTTCACCAGCAAGAGAGGGCTCCGATCCCACAGGCTATTTGCGTGTTTATTTGCCGGCCAACCAGTTGCGTATGGTTGCCAAATTCCGTCTTTGTTGTTGGCCTTTGGAGGTCAACAAAGGACACCATAGGCCGAGAGAGTGCCGTACGTGTCAGGTCTGTACGTCGGGTAAGGTTGAGGATGAATACCATGTGCTCATGGAGTGTGAGGCGTATACTGAGTTGCGTAATAGGTTTCTGATTAACGTTGAAGATACTGATATGCGCAAGGTATTTCTTAATACCAATCCGAGGAAAATCGCTACTTTCCTTACTGAGGTTTTTGATGAGCGTCAACAGCGTGCTCTGGAGCCTCACGGCTCGTGAGGGCACCCGCCGCGTCGGCGGCGGAAATACTGTAACCACAATACAATACAATACAATACATAGTTGTGTGTAGCGGGCGGAGGTGGTTTTGTTGGTGAGTGCAAAGTGAGCTTGTTTGGTGAACATGTCAATGAAGCTATGTAAGCTTCCCGAAGCGAAGTATGAATGTAGAGATAGGGGAGTAGTTCGTTACTGCGAAGGGGAGCTGCCGTGGTGTGTGGAAGCAGGGCGCATGCATGCACGCATGTGGCGGACCACAGTACGGCAGGGGACTCCAAAAAGCTTCTACTTGCTTCGCACTAGCGCATTGGTTCTTAAAGCGCATTAGTTAAAGAACTGCCTTTGTTTTGGCTCCTACCAAGAGGTGTGCCCCGCTTCTGGGACAGGGACCTCTCGTTTCCCCCCACCCACGCACGCACCCACGGGGGCCACCCCTGGGATGGCCACAACGCACTGGTCCCTGGTTTTGTCGCTGCTGACCCCTGTAGTAGGTCACCCCTTGTGGCTCTTCGGCAATTCTCGGGCCTTTAAGTCCAGGGGGGGAAGGGTTCACAGATAAATCAACCTTTTGCTTTCACGGGAACAGTTCAATGTGACCCCGGGGTGGGGTGGGGGTGCGGGTGGGCACCCTGCTTGTCATCGCAGCGCACGTGTTGTGGTAGCATGACCCTCTGCTTTGTCCGCTCTGCGAGCTTGGGAGATATCAGGAAAACATGTTTATGATATGATGGGTTCGATCTGCCTGGGACTGGTCCAGGTGCCTTCGTGGCCGTAGTCAGTCCTAGTCGCTCACCGCCCCTCAGTAGCACCGCCCCACTACAGCGCATTTGTACGGGCTATTGCTACAGCACAATTTCTGTTCCACACCTTCATGAAAATCCTTCATAGCCATGTCTACAGAGGGCTTTTTACTGGAAAAGGCATACATACACGTCGCTGTTGGCAACGGAGCTCGCACCGGTGAAGTGTTTCACGTAACGCCACTTTGACTTTACCGTATCACGGCTCAGATGATCAAAAACACACACATTTACATACATACATACAATACCACCAGCCATTTCAATCTCCCAATTCAGATCATAAAGATCACACACACACACACGCACACGCACATACACACAAGCGGGGATATAACCCCACTCGTGGCCCCAAGGCCCCTAGCTACCGCTCGACAAGCTGCCTCTCCCGCCGCGGATGGTCGCACTGGAGCGGACGGCGGGAGGACCTCCCAGCTCACCGCGGCAACAGCTCGGGTCTCGCCGCGCGCCGGGAGCTCCCTGCTACCGGGCAGCTCTGGTAGGTCTTTACTACGGGCTACTGAGTTCCGGGGTCTCGAAGAGTGAAGCTGTGCCCAACACACACATACATACACACATTCTGAAATTGGATGGGGTGAATGGATTAGGGTGCCCCTCTCGCAGGGGAGAGCAGGGAACTGCCTCGGGAAAGGGGGCCGCTGGTGAAGCTTTACCACCCTGTAACAACATACATACACACAAATACATATATGTACACACACAACCCCAGTCAGCAGTAATTCACGACCGCCAACCCCACCAAGCCCAGACTCCGAAACCCGTGCTCTTGTCATCCTCCTATTCCTCCTCATGACCGGCAGGGCGCCGAGAATGTGCCGCTGGCAGAAGCAGCCACCGGCGGCGGCGGCGGCGGCACCATGGCTGCCGTTGTAGCTTTGCTGGCGTTGGGCGGGGTCCCCCTAGCTGCCGAGTCCCTTGGTAGAGGCAGCTTGGCCAGGGCCCGCGTAAGCTCCTCCCAGCCGCTACCGCACCGAACCGCAAGACGGCCGTCAGGAAGCATCTTGAGCCGCAACCGCCGGCTGTCAAGGCCGTACGTGTACGGCGCCAGTTTCGTCAATCCCAGCGGCGCCTGTGGAACATCAGTCCCCCCCATCAGCCGCCGCCATGTAAACATTGCCGCCGCCGTCGCCGCCATGACGAATGACACGCCAGAGGAAAGGCAAAAGAGGGCGCAGAGGGAGCCGCAGGTCGGCCAAAAAGGGCGAGCTCACGATGCAGCGCCACGGAAGGTTAAACGTACTAACCAACCACCAACCACCAACCACCGCGCCAATGAGGACGGGGGGACGACTTAACGCATCACAGCAACCTCTCTCCCCCCGGGGGCAATACACAAACCGCACTGCACATTACGCCGACCGCCGAGTACCCCTCACTGCTCACCCCGTGTACGGCAAACAGCGCCCCAACAGCCTCCACGGCGGAGTCCACCAACCGCTCTTGGTACTGGGCCCGACGGCGGGAAGTGCACCAGGGACCCGGGATGGCGGCGGCGCCGTCGCTGTCGCCGCCGTCCCAGCCCGCACACACGCCTAATGTGCTGCTCCGCGGCGTACTGGCTGCGGCGGCGGCGGCGGCGGCGGTAGGAGAGGCAGCCACCGCTGCCGCCGAGGCGGCAGCGCCTGCGGCGGCGGCGGCCGCCGCCCAACTAGCTACGGCATGTACGGGAGAGGTCCCCTGCCAGATCTCCGCAAAGGGGTCAGCGGCAATGTCGGGCGCCAAAAGCCGCCGTACCCAACGGCTTTCGTTGCTTTCGTGCTGGTTCGCGCGCCAGTTCTGAATGTAGGCCTGCAGGAGCAGTGTACGAGGCAGAGATGTCCAATACCTCTTCCACTGCTACGGCCGCGTCGTGCCGGAGGGGCGGATTACAACTTCTATAACTCCCTCGCCAAAACCGGGGGGGACGGCCTTCTCAGCCGTCGCCCCAGATCCCTGTCCCCCTCGCCCTTCATTCCACACCCCCGCCTGACTTGACCCCACCTTACGCGCCGTGTGAAAGGCCGGATCGTCTCCAAACACCACACGGCGACAGCTCCCACAGGCAGCAGCGGAAGAGCTGTTGCGAGCAGCCGCCGTCACCGCCGTCGCCGCCGTCGCCGCCGTCACCGCCGTCAACGCTGCTGACGAATTCACTGATTTCACGGCGGCGGCGGCGGTGGCGGTGGCGGCGGCGGTACTTGGCCTCGTGCTGCCCCGCGGTCTCGAGGGGGCTCTAAGGATCCGACCCGCACAAGCAATGGCTGCCCGCCGCAGCTGTAGCAGTTGCCACTGCTGAGGGGAAAGCTGTAGCTGCTGGCGCTGCTGGGGGTGTTGGGGATGTTGGCGAGGGCAGCGCTGCGGCGACTGCTCGGAAGGATAGCATGGAGGAGGAGGAGGAGGAGGTGGTGGTTGCTGCTGTTCTTGCTGCTGCTGTAGTTGCAATTGACGCGGGGGTTGCTGCTGCTGTCCTGGCCCCTCGGTGACGGTGTCGTGGTGGTGCTGCTGCTGCTGCTGCTGGTGGTTTGCGGCGTTGTTGCGGGTCAGCGGTGATTGCGCTGAGGGTTGCTCCCAGTGGGGTACGGCATCTCCGACGATACGACTGTACGGCGGACCTAGGCGCTGGGTAGACCCCTGTTGTCCAATGTACGATGTTCGAGGATAAAACGGGTCGTACATGATGATACGTATCTAGATGATGCAAAATACCCCCCAAACAGCAGCTAGGTGCAGCTTACAGGGAGGAAACATGTGTGTGTAGGGGGGGGTAGGGGTGGGGCGGGGGAGAGAAGGAGGTGAGAACACAAAGCCGGTGGGGAGCCCGGCGGCCAAACAAACCCAACACCACGACACGGCTCCTCCGGGGCCACCCCTTCAGGCCTCCTTGCCCCCCTTCTCTCCCCCCTTTAAAAGACTTTCCCATTGTACGGCAACCTCGACACCTCTCCACCACACCACACCACACCACTTGTAATGCGCCCCGCGTCATTCAGCCCCCACTGCCGCCCCACAGGCGCCCTGAGTACCTCGTCACCCCGAGCACCCCGCTGTGTTCACAAGGTCCCCACCCAGCGCGGCCCCAGGTGGGACTGGATGTTCACCCCCGCATGCGGGTGAATCCTGCGGTTCTTAGAACTTGATTCAACCCACCCCCACCCCACCCCACCCCACCCCATCTCAAATATCAAAGTTTCAGCAGCATACCTCGCCGGCGCCCCCGGTAGCGGCCAGGGGGCCTTGGATCGGGCGATCAGTGAAGCGCAGGGAGGGGGAGGGGGAGGGGGAGGGGGACGGTGCACGGCCAAATCCCGTCGGGGTCGACATTGTGGGCGTGGACGCCGCCGAGGCGAGTACGGCAGCAACAGCCGCCGGGTGGTGGTGGCTGTCGGCTCCCTGTCAAGCAAAATGGAGACAGTTGGTTGGGCGGCAGGAAGGTTGGTGGTTGGTAGTTGGTGGTTGGAATTGGTTGAACTCGGGAGAGGGACGACGGGGCACCCGTAGGAGTTCGTGTTGTTGGTGTTGTTGTTGTTGTTGGTGGTCTTCTTCTAGAGAGAGGACGCGGGGAGAATGGAAGCTGCGGTGCTGTTACTGTCCGTGTGTTCCCCCTCCACAGCATCGCCACCAACTGCTATTCAGCGTCTGCAGCCCCACGGGCGTGTTCCCCCACGGGCGTGTTCCCCCACGGGTGCAGATGAGGCAACCAAGGGGTTATCCCTGTACTCGCGCACGCACGCACGCATCCCTCCACACGCTCAGACCCTCCGCACCTCTTGCCCAGACACCCCCAAGGGGGCTGCTGCCGGGGCGGGGCCATCGCAATGCCGCCACGGCGCGGAGGGCGACGGTGAGACCCGGTCAAACAGCGCACCCAGTCGGGGACTGGGGAGAGACAGCTGCAGCGGCGGTGGCGCCGCCGCCGCCGCCGCCGCTGGCGGCGGCGACAACGGCACTCGGGATGTATGCCCGACGGTGCCGTGAGGAGAACCCGCCGATGACGTCGGCGCAAACATACTCAACGCCGTTGTTGTGGCGGCATAACCTCCAAGTGCAGAGTCAGGCTGCACGGTATGACGAGGTGACGGCGCCGCCATCTCTGCCTCCGCTGCCGTACCATCCAACGTCACCGCCAGCGGCAGACCGTGCTGTAAGTTCAGCTGCGGCAGCTCTTTCCAAGACGAGGAAGACAAGCATGAAGCGGATCCCGCCGGCTGGAGGCCGCCGCCGGGGGGGGCCCCTAGGGTGCCTTGTGCGACACGCTCCCCTCCGAGGAGCTGGCGGCTCCCGCTCCGCGGCGTTCGGGTTCGTTGAGAGCGCCGGGTGGCAAGGCGGCGCCGTTGCGCGGGGCTCGGTTGGGTCAGGGGGCTGCTCGGCAGCGTCACTGCCCCCACCTCCGTAGCAGCAGCAGCAGCAGCAGCAGCAGCAGCAAAGAGAGCGGTGGGGGCCGGCTGGCCGCGGGACCGCTGCAGTGCGCCCACGAGGCCCGCAAGCAGCTCTTGGAGGCCCTGAACCTGCCGGGCCAGGTCCGCCACGGAGAGCGGCTGCTGCTGCTGTTGATCTTGTTGTTGTTGTTGATGTTGGTGGTGTTGTTGCAGTAATGGCGACGGCACTGGTGACGGCACTGGTGACGGCTGCTGTGACGGCGAGATAGCCTGTGCTGGCGTCGCTGGCGGCGTTGGCAGTTGACGCGCCTGGCTGCCGTACGCGGCCTCAGCAGTGGTGCTGCCAACGAATCGCGTATGGGTGTTGCTGGCTCCGCTTCCGCTGGTATCCACGGCAGTGGCGGCGGCGGCGGCGGCGGCGTTAAGGTCCGCCAGGAGGGCTCCGCTCACGGCGTCCAAGTCGCGCCAGGACCCACGCGGTAGCGACGTCAGGTGAGGCGCCGCCGTCGCGAGACGTTCCAACAGAGCGTCGTACATATATACGTCGTACTCGCCGACATCAAGGTTGTTTTCATCGACAGCTCGAGGGTCGCGAGCGTTCTGGCAGCTGTCCTCGCAGCGTACGAACGCTGCCAGTACGGCAGCTACTGCTGCTGCTGTATCGGCGGATGGTGCATGGGTTGCGATGTCTCTGCTGCCACCGCGACTGTCGCCAACTCCGTCGTCCTTGTCAGGGCCCGAGTCGCCATTGCGGCATTGGTGCCGCGGCTCGCTTGACACTAGATCACTATTCGCAGGCCACAAGCTGAGCGAGCTAGCCGAGGCGCTCGCCACGGGCAGGGCGGTTCCAGACCGGCTGCTGCCATCACTCCGCCAGCTGGTGTTCGTGTTTGTGAGATGGAACGATGTCGACACCGGGGTTGTGCTGCCGCCGTCGTGGACTGCTTCATTCCTTTCGGACTTGCCGGATGTGAGGCGCACTGTGCGATGATCTCTGCCCTCCTCCTCCTCCTCCTCGAACTCCAACAGCCGGCGGCTATTGCCGCTGTCGTCATTGTCGACGTCGACGTCCGCGCCAGGAGGTTGGCAGGACGACACGCCGCCGCCTGCACGCTGGTCGCGTGTTGTACGGCCAGACTGGACGAGCAGCGTCACATACGGCTCCGGCTCCATATCGGGTCTGGGGGGCCCTGAAAATGAGCAGAAGGAGGACAAACAGCGGGGGCTGGCGGTTTACCTCCAGCAGCCCTCTGACGCCAGGTCCCGGGCATGTGAAGGCCGTACATGAGAATACGACAGAGGAGTAGTACGGCAATGGTGCTTAGCGGCCCTGATGAGATTCCTAAACCAAGGCGGTGTCGTATCTCGGTAGTCCAAACCGTGACGGCGGCCGCGATCGACATCCAGCGGGGACAGCGCGTCGTTAGATGGCATGTCTGAATACCGCCCTCTGAGGAGGACGTCGTCATTTCCTTAGTAGCCGTTTCATGAGGATACCATCAGTCGCATGGAAAAACTTTATGTTGAATATATGTTGCGTACATGCCCGGTGTGTGCGCACTGCGATTGGGTTAAGAATGGGTTAAGAAAAGAATGCAATGCATTTTCGCAGGGCCCGTTGAGTCACTTTATGCGTTCTGTTGTTTTTGAGGGTTGCATGTGTGTGTGGGGAGAGAGAGAGGATCTGAGCAATCCTGGCATTTGTGGTCTTCGGTCTTACCAGCTATCCCAGATGATGATGTTGCTGCAAGTGCTCTGGCAGCTGCCGCCGGTTGCGTGATATCGACGCACCGGAGTGATAGCCGGGAGGAAGGTGCGCTTGTCGGTGTAGGTCGGAAGCTGTGGCGAGGAGGCAGAGGCGGTTCGTGAAGATCGGCTTCGCGCGACCGCGTGTTGCATCCGTAACAAGCCAATTCATGGATTGTCGGATCTGTGGTTGCCCTTCGAATTCGGTTGAGGCAGTTTTGAGTGTCCTTCAAGCATTTGCGGCTTATTTCAACCGAAAAAGAGTCAACGGATTGGAAGGTGCTGTCGCCACCGAGGCTCTGCTCGCGACTTAAGCCAGCAGCGCCGGTGTTGTCGTTGCGTGCTTCAGTTGAAATCATCGCGGGGTGCGCTAAGACTATGGAATAAAATATTATGATCGGATGTTACAGTATCAAAGATTGTGCCATGGATTCGTCACGTAAGAGGAAAGTCAAGAAGCGTACAAGTTGGTTTTAGAGAGCGTAGAAGAACTAGTGAGGAGCTCCAGTAGTTACTGCATCTAGGTAATTATCTTTCATACACATTTTCTAAATGTAAAACTTGGCCCTTACCTCGCTCGCTGATTATAGTGCTTCATGTAGCGGTCCGTCGAGTAGCCCTCGGTTGCGCATGCTACATATCTTGCAGTTGTGAGGTTGGTGGCTACAAACCTTATATCTGCAAGATGACTGATAAGCGAGGTGCTGATGGGGGGTTTCCGGCCTTCACGCAAAACACCCACCATGCACGAATCTGCATGTATTTGTCATGCCGAGAAAACCCCATGGTGGGCTCCGGCACAACGACCGAAAACGTGCCTTGCAAAATTATATTGGTTTCCGAAAATTTGCCGCCATGGCTACTTATTTATGTAAGCAATCTTGCATTTCTCCAGTGATGGCGTCATCATTGCAGGCGCTTTTACTATTACGCCTGTAAGCGCCCTGTTTTATAGTTCTTCTGATATTTTACGTGGAGAGAGAGGGAGACAGAGAGAGAGGGAGCTGCAAATAATCTTTGATTACATTTCACTAACTATATCTTAGGTATAGACTTGGGCTCTATACATCTTCTTAGCAGTTCTTAGCCATGGATGCACCCTTGCCATTTCAAGTATGAGAAACCCTAAGGAAACCGGATCGCTTGAAGGTGCTGGTCGCTCCTTGTGCAGGTGGGCATCGGTTGGCCGGGGATGCCGCTTGCTTCCGGTCGCCTCACACAGTTTCGGGGCCCAGTTTCGGGTCAGTTCACGCTCCCACAGCGGCCTCCACGCGAGTGCCGAGCCGCAATGCCTGAATGCGTTACAAACGACGAATCTTTCTAGGTAGATATTTTGCGCTATATAATTTTCGGAGCTGTGCTGTGTATTCGGTGGGCACAATTCTACAGGCTTGCTCACGCCTTCAATGGCCTCCCAGAGTATAGCCCCAACAATGCCTGTAAGGGACCGTCGTTTGTAAAGCAGCAGCGCATCCATCGCGGACTCTCAGGGTTTGTAAGGACCTTCCCCCGCCTCACCGCATTGGCTCTCCCACTTTTCTGAAATCCTGCGCTTCCACAGGTACTGATCAACCTTCACCTAGCTATCCGCCCCTCGCGTCCATGGAGCCCAGAAAGGGGTGCTGTGTTCTCTGCGCTGAGAATGTGAGGAAGACGAGGTCGCTCCCAGTTAATCAGATACGCACAGCTGGCAGGCCGTGGTACTGCGACGGTGGCGAAGAATGTTGCCAGTCCCACGCAACTCATAGTGCAACCCTCCGACTTCACGGCTGGTCCCATCCTGAGCTGAAGGGCCATCCGGTGAAGATGATAACCCCAACTCCGCCCTCACACCGGCAAATCCAGATTTGCAGGACCTGTCGACGCGCGAACGAATCGAATCCAGCAAAGATGGTAGCCAAGCTGCGAGTGACGCGGTTGGAGGAACAGTTGCAGGTACATGAAGAGGAGACGACCCAGCAGCAGCAGCAGCAGCAGCAGCGGGCGCAACAGCTAGCAGATGCGCAGCAAGATGTTCACGAGCCATCGCAGCCTTTTGCCGGTGCTGCAGGAGGCCCTTCAGTCGTCACCTGTTGTTCAGCGGTATTCAATCTTGCGGTTACCGCCAATGTCATTTGCATAAGCGCATCACTCGGCTTAGCGGGCAAGGGGCGCGACGTGCTGGGGGACACGGAGCAGCTGCACGCATTCACACACGCGGATGCGTCCGATCTCTCCCTTGCACTCGAGGCGGGGGGAATTCCGGCGCCGGAGCAACGGCGACAGCGGCGCATCACCAGTGGCGCGCCGAGGCCCAGCGGCCGGCCCTCCTCTGCCGGCTTGCCGACTGCTGGCAGTCCGCCTTCCCCCGGTGGCCGGGCAGCCCGTCGCTGCTCCGTCAGTCGTCAGCATTACAAGACTTTGAGATGACATGCGGTGACACGCGGCGCCTTCGCGCTCTTACAGGAGCACGGTAGCATGCTGCGGCTTTTAGCAGCTATCGCACTTGTGTTCATCCACAATAAGCCGCGCAGGCAGTGTTGACACTGTATAAATCTTTGTAGGGGGCATTGCGTACTCGTCGTGACGTCGAGCGAGCTGGATTGCGAACTTGACTCAGGGGTCAGGGATGCGCGTAAAAGACAAGGGTGTCAGCCAATTTCGTTGCAAGGGTGTATAAATGTTTGCGCGGTGATCCTGGACACCGATTGAGAAGTCACTGTGGGCGTAAGGCTCCTAGTCGATGCACCGAGTTTGGAGGTTGATTCTGGTTGATACGGGTCTCCATCACGTATGGTCTCCATCACCCTCCCTGCTGGCCTGCTGTTCCCGACTTTCCCATTACCGACTCGCTATGTTTATGAGGGGTATATATGGATTCGGCCTAGTATGCCGTGCGTTGTTCGGAATACTTTAGACATATACGTATGGCGTTCACAACGCTGACGCGTGATGAAAGAACCGTCCCAGGCATAAACGTTAGCCGGGCAGGGTTTCTCTGCGCGATAGATTCTAAACCACAACTTTTATCCTAGGTCAGTAGATAATGCTATGAGTTGCAAGCTGTTTGGATGGCTTTCCTTTGGAGGTGCCGAAATTTCTGGGAGTGAGCGAGTTTCAGGCATTGCGGTGCCTCGGTCATCCTACAAGTCTTGTTTGCATGTGAGATATAAACTTCAATGTACAGATTTGTTTCAACTAGGTAGGAACACCTTCCATTTTTTCGCGCAGCTGCGGTAGGGTTGTAGCGGGAAACGCTTATATAACGCTTATACTCCGACAACTTCGGAATTTTTTGTGCTGTAATGAAGTTCCAGAAGTAACTTAGCTCTGTTCACAAACAGGACCAGTTGAAACGTAAATTTGACCCCCCATGGTGTGAAGGTGCGCAGATAGATGAGAAATGGACGTGTCTCTACAGCACTGTTAGCCAAAGGTTAGAAGTTTAGTTGCAACATATTTTTGGTCTATATATAGCTCCACCATTCAACTACAATTGTTGGAGCGAAGTCGAGCTTGTGTGCACGACTGTATTGCGTGTAATAACCGATCCGCAACCTACAGCTAGTACATTCTTTTCATGGGCGGGTGCACGGCTGCAGCGGTAATGTAAGGCCGCAACCATGCTGGCAAGTCGGATGCGCAAGCGCACCATTGACAAGCCCCCGAGAAATATTCAAGTTAATCGCAGGTCCTCAATGAGGACCATATTAGCGATTAAGCTAATAAGAACAGATACTACACATGATCTGAGCCAAAAGGCCGAGAAAGGTATGCAATGCTAATATGTGGATTTTGGTCCTACCTTGGGGTGATAGATTTCCAATGTGCTTCCGCGCGATGGTGGGTCATGGTATGCAACACTTCCCATCACAGCCCTGCTTCCTGTTTCCGCATCTTCACACATTAACTCTTTTACGGTCCTGTCTTATGTATATGACATAGCAGCAGACCCACCGGTTCCCTCCAACCGCTGCATGGCGGAGCCCATCCTCTACCTCCTACCTCTTTACAAATTAGGACACATGCCTCACCATCTGTTTGAGATCAATGTGGATTTGCATCAACGTGTTTACACAGAGGTCCCCAGCTGCAACCAGCTGCACTCCTTCCATCGAGGGTCGCTCTGTCACTTCACATCTGGGCTGCTTTGGGCGACGAATGTTTGCGGCCGCTTGGAGCGGTGATAGGCCTTGCCGGCGTCCTTGCCCCCCGCAGCTCGGCTGAGGATGAAGCGGCGATGGTTGGAGAACCCTGAGGTGTTAAATGATGATTGTATTGAAGCTCTTGCCAAAGTGCTTTAGATGCCTGACGCCGCTGGGCCGACCGCGCTGGCGTACAAGCAAATACTTCCCCTCTGCCAACCGGCGCCCTGACGCCGACCTACCTCGTGTCGTGAAAGGATAGGCCTGTGTTGCCTTGCTCCTGTGGCTGGGTTGCATTGCACTCCTCTCCACAACAATGGCTAAGTGACACGAACCGTCAAAACCCAGTCTTCGGCCTTTTTCTATTATTAGGCGACAAGAGGCCGCTGGAAAGGGCACTCAGTGACCCGATGAAGATATTGTTTTTTATTTATACACGGACTCACTTCTTTACAATGGAGCAGGTGCCCCAAGCAGCCAAACACGCAAGTGGTGTAGTGACAGCCGGCGCTGCCATCGCTTGGCCGGAGGAAGGTGGCGTGATGATGGCTAACGGCCCCGAAGCAGACTCGTTGGCGGTGCTGAGTCCCCAGGCGATGGGAGGATGTGGGAGGCGCCGGTGTCTGCAATAATGGAGGTGGCAGTTCCCACACAGGCGGGTGTGGTGGCAGTCCCTGATGAGGTCTGGCTTAGCCGTATCACCGGATCACACGGATCAATGCCAGTGACGGAGACCAGCACACAAACGTTTACAGAGTCTTCTTCTGCTGCCGCTTCTGCTGGGCCCTGCTGCTCATCATCTGCTTTAGACGATGTCAAAACAGCATTTATTTGTTTATTTGATGATGGTTCAGTCCAGGGGGAAATGGACGGAGCTTCACTATTTCCAGGCGAGGTGTTCGCCCGCGCCGCTGTCGCTTACTGCGGCGGCTCCTGTCCGCGGCTCCTCGGACCGCAGCAGCTCGGAAGAGGATGTGGATCTTTGGGGATGGGGATGAATCAGGTAGCGCTTGTAAATGGTCTTTTTCCTATTTAACAGCATGCGGAGCCATGCGCGGTGTCCTGCGCTCTTCACAAGTTCATGTATGGCACAATTTCCCGGGTTTGTGAATGCCGCATCCCGAAGGCGGATTGAGGCCGCGACCGCGTGGTGGCAATACACGGCCTGTCTGCGGAGGCTGTCACGAGGGCCCAACAAACAACCGACAGCCGCTTCAAAAACAGGTATAGCCACACCGCTGGGATGACCACATACATACATAGTGACATGATGTCAGTCCTTGTTGAGGAGCAGCCAATGGGTGGTTACTGGCAGTACTCGGGTCGTCCCAAGAAATGTTCTCGGATGAACGTTTAACATGATGTTGACGTTGACGATGACGATGTTGTTGTCGAGCCGTCGTCCTGGCGGCAACATGTCCCGTACGACGGACCCTGCGGGCGGTTGAGTCAATAAAGAGCCCCATTGCCGAGGAGACGCCTCCCCCTGGGTTCACGCCCGTCACACCACGCGCACGGCACAGAGAGGGGGGTTGGAAACCCATTTACTTCAAGGTCGGTGAAAAGCTGTGCAGGAGAAGACATCGCCCAAGAGAAACGTAGTAAGCGTTACAAGGCAAGTTAGCATAACGTTTTCCTTGGCGACGTTGCGACATCAACTCGTGACCGCACCGTTGCAGTTCCGCTTGGACAATTCCAACACCGCCGACCGGAGAGCTAGCCCGGGGCCCCGTCTATGAGCCGCTGTGAAAGATCTACACACATACAGACAGATACACACGGGGGAGCACATTGCTCGCGGGCTTGGGGCCGAGCAGGCAGATCGTGGTCCTCCATGTACTGCTGGCTCCTCCGTGCAGCTGTCGGCGCTCGCCGGGTCTGCCCCTGCACTCCTGCCCCCCGGTACCTCCCTCGGCACTCAGCCAACGAACAAAACAAAATATCAATTATGCTAAATGTACTCAACTTCCGCTCCCCCCAAAAAGACGCATCGCTCAAGAGGCTACTGACGACCCACACCGCGTGTACGAGTAAGTGATTGAGTGAGTGAGTGAGTGTGTATCCAGTGCCCACCGACGTGTAAGCGGGCGCCCCGATGGCCCTCGAAGCCTATCCCGCATTGGACAAGTCCGGCTGTGCCTGGCTGCTCAGTAACATGGATGGATACTTCGCGGCCCCCCCTGGACTCCTCCGGCCGACTCCTATTCTGAAAGCGTCAAGGGACTCCTATTCCTGCTGCCTCCGGAACAAAAAAAATCCGTGCCGCACCGTATGCACACACATACATACATACATTCCCCCACGTTGACACACGTGCTCGACATGGCATGGTTTGCGGCGGGGCCCCCGGACCTGGATTTGCCTACCCGGGGTGGGGGTGGGAGGGGTAGCGGGGTCTGTCCGAACGCAACACACATACACATACATGCACACAGGTGTGCAGCTGTACATCCATCCACATATCCACACAGGCTAACCACATACACAATCTACCCAAAAGACAGCGCACGTCTCGCACGTTCTCCGAAACCAACTAGAGATACGCAGCTCAGGAGGCATAGCAGGCCTGTAACGCCGCCGCAACACCCTTCCACACGTACGTCGCGCGCTGTAAGGCAGCCTATTTGCCGTACGTATGAACGGCGAATGCCGTACGCCGTAACTCACAGTACATTAAAACGGACGGCATACGCACTTCGGCACCGTACGCAATATTACCTCTGCGCGAAAGATCCCGACGAGAATGCCGGAGCAGTGGTACCTAGTATCGCCACCGATTACTACCGACTCCAAAACTGGACAGACGGCGACATGGCCCCCCGGGGCGTGCCAGCTCGTACGGCAAATGTTATGACGGTGGGTATTTCAGCACTGAGCTACTGACCCCCTTCCATGAACTGACAGTGCAGCCGTACAAGGGCCAAACATACATACAACCCATAGCAAAGGAACGACGGTACGCGCACGCTGCACACCTGCGAGGCGGTCCTCCTCTCTCCCCCTCCTCCCCGTGGTGACGACGACGGGGAAGGCGGGGAAGGCGGGGGAGCCCTCGCCACCTGCCCTGCCGCCCAAGTTCAGTCTTTCAGTCCTCAGCGACATACACACCGGCTAGGACACTCCACTCACGTAGAGCACGTCGCTACAAAGCTAACCCTCCCCCCCCTGACATTCCGTACTTAAAGAAGAGGAAGAATGGACGTGCGCTCCGCTGCTACTTAAGTATCTTTCCGTAAACCTCCCGGAACAGCCGGCGCCCATGTCAGCGTGACGCTGCGCGCACCCGCCCAGTAGTCGGCCAGCCAGCCAGCCACTTCGGCACGCCGCCATCAGCACCAGTGGACATACAGACATACATGCATGCATGCATACATGCAAACATGTACAGGTAGGTAGGAATAAACACACAGACACATCGTTCCGGCCCAACCCTCTGTTTCCATTGGGGGGAAGAGGAGGAAGGCGGGGAGGGGGAAGGCGGGAAAGCTTGGGAATGCTACGTAAGCTGCACGCAACACGAAGAAAGTTTACCTTGTAGCGGACTAGAAAGCGCTGCATCCACGGCCATACTACCTCCTACAACCCAACCACCCCTGGTGGTTGCACTTTTCAACCCCCCTCGGCACCGGCCCTGCCTGTGCGGCACGGCGCCTGTACGGCGTGGCAGCCTCCACAGCCGCCGCCTCTTTGAGGGGGCAGCGGCGCGCCCGCAAATCCAAGCATGAGTGCAGTGCCCCCCCCCCACACACCCCACTCACACTCCCCTTACGGGGGGGGTTCCTTCACCCCCTTGAGCGGCTCCGTAACTCACGGCTCCTCATGCCGTGCCGCTGCTCTCCGGTGCATACAGCTACTCCTATTGCTACTGCTACTGCTGTTGCTGTTACTGCTGCTGGTGATGTTTCTGCCTTTCGCTCACGCGGGCAGCTGCCTCCACCGCCCGGCGGGAGGCCAGCGACATGAGCACCTGGAGGGGAAGGCCCCATGTGGCGGGAGGCGGGAGGGGGGGGGATCAGGGCCTTATACAGCGCCTCATAGGGATAGGAGGAGGATGGAACACTTGCACTACAGATCAGCCGCCCCACCCGCAGTGCTGGTCGCCATCAAAGAGGCACAACCACCCCAACCGTGGCCCCGGGGTGGTGGTGACCACCAGTAATGCAAGGACTCAGCAATGTATGTATGTATGTGTGTCTCCGTGCACAAAGGGCGCGGGGTGGTGGTGGTGGTGGGGGGAAACAGCGGGAGACAGACAGGGGGGTATCTTCCGGGTCCAGTCGCAGTTGGGCGAGTCCGGAGGGGCGCCGCTACGGATGGGGAGGCGAGTGCCGCATGCGATTGTTAGGGTTTTAGGGTTTTAGGGTTTTAGCTCAGAACAACTGACTCACGTAAATGGGTGTATTGTCGTCGTCCCACAGTACTCGCACTCCCGGGTGGGGCCCGGGTGCCGCGGGAAGTGCCGCCACCGCCCGCACTGCCGACCAGATGACGGGGTGGGACAGCACCGCCTCGCGGGCGGCCTCCACGAGGGCCGGGTTACGCAGCGCCCGACGGGGAGGCAGCGGAGCCGCCTCCCCCGTCACCTCCGTCAGGTCTGCCGTCACCTCCGTTGCAGCTGCGCCCCGCTGCTCGTCCAGCGGCGGAGCCGCTGCCGGACCCGTAGCCGCCGCCGCCGCGACTGCGACTGCCCCGCCTTCCGCCTGTGTGTTCTCCGCCTCCTCCTCACCCAGCGCCTTGCCCTCTCCTTGCCCCTCCTCCTCCTCCTCCTCCTCCTCCTCCTCCTCCTGCTGGTGTTGTTGTTGTTGTTGGTCCGCCTGCCGCATGGCTCGCCACATGCTGTCCATGGCGAGGACCTGGTAGAGGAGCAGAGGCGCACGGGGACCCCCGGACGCTAAAGGAGGGGGAACTAACGAGAATTGAACTTCCCCGAACTGGTTACCACCACCATTTCATCTATCTACTCGGGTATTCGGGCGTTAGGAGGTCTAACAGCGCCACTTTCGATGTGAGCTAGCACACGCACACGCAAGGCCCAAGTGGCATAGAACCATAGCGGAGCGCGGGAAACCCCCCTTCCAATAACCATTACCCCCACACACATGCACTCGGGCCTCCAGTTCCCCTAGACGCCCCGTGGTAGGTAATACACACACGATATCGGGAGGGTTTGAACCCATGCACATGCACATCTGGGTCTGGTCTGGTTGACACTACTGTCTTAACAGTTTAAGGTCCTGGGAAGACCCCCGACATAGTCGGGAGCGTGAGATTATGGCTAGCTGCTGAAATGTGGAGTTGAGATCACAGTTGATAGATCGAGATTCGCACCACGCTGGATGGGTAGCGATTGCTGAACCCTCTGTCTCTGCGGATGTTCGGGTGAATGGATGAGGAGGGATCCTAGAAGGCAGAATCAACCGCCTTGGACTTCCAGTTCGTACGGCGTAGTACAGTGTGGTAATGGTGGATGGTGCTATATGGTGTGATAAATCGTAGACATGACAACATGTTCAAGTGACCCAGAAGACTCTCACTCTGTAACAATTCAATTCAATTCAATTCAATTCAATTCAAGACATCTGGGCCACACATCTGCGACTGCTGCCGTCTTTCCGCCGCACCATCCCAAAGGAAACCCAAACTCCCCCCTCACAAACATACTACGTACTTAAGCACTTACATACGTACATACACACATACACAACCTAACCGCATTCTCCCACCTGTTTCAGGAACTCCCGCCGGCTCTCCACCAGCTCCCTCTGCTCCGGACCCGCCGGGCCCATGTTACCCAGCAGCTGCGCGTACAGCTGGTCCAGGGACAGCTGACCACTGAGGGGGTAGGCGGCAAGCAGCGCGGCAGCGGTGGCCGCGGCGGCGGAGGAAGCAGGCGCCACCGGCGCGCCGCCGTCGCCGCCGCCGCCGCCGCCGCCACTCTCACCGGCGCTAATACCACCTTCCTCTCCGCCGCCGCCGTCGCCGCCGCCGCCGCCACCGCTGCCGCCGCCGCCGTGGCGCGCAGCCAGCCGGTCGATAGTGGCGTCCGGAATGCCCGTCATGCGGGTCCTGAACTCCCTGGAGCACATGGCCAGTCCGAACTCAGGACACAGCAAGTGGGAGCACAGAGAGCACAGCGCCATGAGGGCGTAAAGGGACTGTAGCAACTCCGTCTGCTCCACCACCACCTCCTCCAGGTACGACAACTCAGGAGGGAAGCCGCCGGAGCAGTCCGGCGGAGGAAGGGTAGCGGCGGTGGCTGCCGCCGGCGGCGGCGGCAGCGGCGGTGACGCCGGCCGCGTCGGAGAGCAGCAGCCGGAGGAGCTGCCGCTGCTGCTGCCGCCGGTGCTGCGCTCGCTGAGATTGCTGCTGCTGCTACTGCTGCTACCGTTGTCGCTGCTGCTACTGCTCGAGAGTCCGGCGGCTATGGAGGCATCAGACGTGTCGGCGGTGGCAAGCGTGGCGCTGCTACTACGGGCGCTACCGGGCGGGGAGGGGGAGGAGAGGGAGGTGGCGGGGCCAGGGAGGGAGGGCTCAGCGCCCGGGACAGTGGCCGACGGCTCTGAGGTGTCTGCTGCGGACGACACGGCAGCGGCGGCCGCGGCGGCAGCCGCTAGCTCGGCGCCATCAGCCGCCGCAGCTGAAGGTGGAGGCACCGCTGCGGCCGCATTTGCTGCGCCCATGCCTCCCAAGTGCGCCGCCAAGTGCGCCACGGCAGCGTCGACGGCCTCCAAGTACGACGCCCCAGTAGCGGAGGCGGCCGGGTCGTCACCTGCTTCCGCTGCTTCCGCCGCCACGCCGCGCTTGGCCGCGGCGGCAGGGCGTCCTGACATGCATGCCTGTACGACAGCCAGTGCCTCCGCCACCACCGCCGTCAGCGCGGGGTTATTGCAGAGCTGCAAAGCCACGGCGGCGCCCACCTCCGGCAGGTACGCCATGACATGTAAGTCGTGCCAGACCTGCACACACATACATACACACATACACACGGGTGTTGGCAACGGTTGGGAAGGAAGGGGGCAGCCGGACCATATGCGGGGGGAGAGGGGGCTCAGAACGGGGGGGACATGTGCTCGAGCACAGCCAACACCCCTCCCAGGGGTTCAGGTAGGGGGGTCTCCATCATACGGGAGAAAGGCGAAGGCACTTCTCCCACTGGGGTGCCGCCATATCGGTGGGAGGCGGGCCCCCTCTCCAGGGGTCCGGGGGGTCCTGGACGTACTGGACGTACTGGAACGCCGGCACTGCCCATCCTCCCCCATCCGCATGGTCACACATGGACATACATACAACCGCACACACATACACACAGGCACGCACGGATACCGCGGGGCACCTTCCGCCCACAGCTCAGATCATCCCCGGATTACCTGCTTGCTTGCCGCCGGCAGCCGCAGTAGCAGCCGCAGCAGCAGCCGATGGTAACCCACATCAGCAAATCTCCTGGAGGTACGACACAGGGTACGACAAGAGGTGTGGGTGGGCGCCCGACGGGGGGGCCCGCCCAGGTGTGTGTGTGTATTTGTGTAAAACCGGGGGGTTGCTGCGTAGAAGACGCTCCCCCGAAACGGGCAAGACCGGACCGGGACAGCGCCTTGCTGCTTCATGCCGTACCATTCCGTACTCTTTCTGTAGATTAAAAAACAAGACACACAGCGCTTAGAAGGACAGTTCCCTCTTTCCCCTTCCCGACTCGACCTCAGGGACGCTCCGCGCCTCTCCCCTCCCCACCCCCCTCAGCCTCCGAGGTCGCCTCCTTTAAAACCGCGTACTGGTCAGTTCTGCTTCTCTTTCCTTGGTAGCAGCTTCACTCGTTCGTGGCGCATCTTTCCCTCTCAACCTCACTCCCCTTCCGAGCCCTCCTCCTCCTGAACCCCCCCCTCCCCTCCCTGGACCCGGGACCCGCGAAGTCCACTTCCCCCTCCCCTCCACTTCCACATCCCCCCTGACCATCTCCCCCCCCCAGCTACCTCAACGGCCCCTCCAGGTCGTCGAGTTGGGGCCGGGGGCAGTGGAAGCCGTTCTCCAGCAGCATGGCCGCCCGGGCTGACTCACACGCCGCCTGCACCAGGTCGGGGGGTAGCTGGGAGATCTCCTCGGCCTGGGAACCAATTTGACAAGTGGTTGGGGGGCGGGGAGGGGGAAGACGAACCACGAACGAGTGAAGCGGGGGAGGGGGAGGGGTTTGGGAGGCAGGGGGTAAAGCAGCAGGTGCACGGGGGGGGGGGATGCACCATTTAAAACCAAGCGGACACGGAAGCGCAGCGGAGCGGAAGCAGGGCCCCCCCCTCTGTGTGGGGACCTGAGGGGTGTCGTGTCAGCACGGAACAAGGGGACCAGCAGACAGACAGCGATACAGCGATACAACCTTGCGCAATACAACCTTGACAACCCATCCACACGCACATACATCTATACATGCACACGCACACGCACACGCACACGTACACGCACCTTCCATCCCCTCCTAACCCACATCGTCCCACGGTTCACAACACATGAACGGATGCATGCACATTCCAAATGAAAAGACCTTTTCTCCAGTCACCATTTCCCCCCTACACCCCCTTTCCCCCCTTCCCCCCTTCACCCCTCAACCCCCCTCATCCCCCACCCCCCACCCTGTCCAGCAGCTTCTGCGGCGCCACCAGCATGAAGTCCCGGGTGTCCTCCCGCGCAACCATGGAGTCAACCAGCGGGGGAAAGTACTTGGCCACGGACTGCAGGGGGGAGGGAGGAGGGGGGA